GGGGGGGGTAGGCCTCTGTTTTTTTTTTTTTTGCAGTTTTGGGGTTCTTAGAACGAGGTCCCTCACCTCGTATTCCGTAACGCGCGCGTGCGCCCCCCGCGGTCGCGTTAAGTTTTTTCGCGCCACGTGGCGCGCAGCGCATTTGAACGCGAATGAACACGGCCCTCGGGGGTATGAACGCGTGCGTTTGAACGTGAACGTGCGTTCAGCACGTTCACCCGGTTACATAGCACCCAGATGATCGGCAAATGAAACACCCTCGTTGCCGTCGTCTACAATTACGAGGACGGTCAAACAAGCCGTCCTCCACGGAAGAAATATCCAACACACCACCAAGACGACGAAATATCATCCGCCCTTGAAAGCCAACAAAGCAAGCGCTCTGGATCGATGACGGCGGGACAGGACATGAACATGGTACTTTCATCGCGAGAAACAGCCAGGTCGTATCGTGGATTACATGTGCTTCATTTGCTCTGCTAGAGCGTTCCGGAAGTGAGATCGCCTCGGTCGTGGAAGTGGAATTGTTGACTGGCTGTGGGGGAAGATGAATCCCTAGATCCACTCGGAATTGCGGAAACGGTCACGTTGAAGTCCCCAGGGAATCTTAGAGCCAATCAGGCATTTTCTTGGGCTGCATCTAGGTAGTCTCATTTCATAGAATGAAAAAAAAAGAAATAGATTTCGACGAAATGGTTGTTAAGGTTATGTTGTAAGTGGTACAAACAAGAGAAAGGTGGAGGGGGACAGGGAGGCAGAGCTTGGGGTGGAAGGCGGGGGAGCTACAAAAGGTTTCCCAGTGGAAGTTGAATGGATGCACGGAATAGGGTCCTGGGAGACTGTATTTGAAGTCTTAATTTTGAAATTCATGTACACGTCAGTAGCATACTGGTACTTTAATCATAGAATCCGATGCACCTATAATAGAGCTATAGACCTACACGCCTGTCGACATATATACATTAAATTTATAGTTCCACAGAGCTACTCTAACAGGCTAGAGATCCTTGTTGAGGCAACGTTTGGTGAACGAAAAAAGGGCCGGAGTGCATTGTTTTCTGTCTTTCGAACGGCCCACTGGCAGTGGACTCAGCGGTGGTGAGAGAGAGAGTCTCATTAACTACCAGCGCCACATCGTCCAGACCATATGGGTATCATGCAACTAATACCCACGAGAGAGAGAGAGAGAGCGAGAGAGAGAGAGAGAGAGAGAGAGAGAGAGAGAGAGAGAGAGAGAGAGAGAGAGAGAGAGAGAGAGAGAGAGAGA